GTGGGTAGTTGGCGGGTGCTCTGGTGTGATTTGCTCCTTCTTTCCTATCAAATATCTATCGTCCTTATCTCCCCTAATTAAAATAGCCGCTGAATTGGGACTTGTGTAAAGTATGATTTTTGTAATTGGAAAAAAAACCCACGCATAATATATATTATTATATATACATAGATCTAAATAGAGATAATAGTCAGGGATAATTAAAGAGATGGAGAGTTAGATCTATAGAGAGAGAGAGAGAGAGAGAGAGAGAGAGAGAGAGGGGGGGGGTGCATGAAGGCGCGCGAAAAGTTTGTTGGTCGTGTGCTGGTTGACATTTCTCAGCTCAAACAAACAGAATGGTTGAAACAGAGTATTATTTGTTCACACACAGGTGCTATCGTGTTATCGTATTAAACTGTTTAAAGTATTTAATTTAATCCAACTAGGGGTTCTCTCCGTATTTCGGAGCCGACCCCCGGGAGTTGACGATTGCGTCAGGTATTGTTTTCTCTCCCGTCAGTTTTACGGCACTTGCAAAAAACAAATTTTCTCACAATTGCATCGTTACGTCGTTGAACAATAGCTTCAGGGATAAAACTTCAACAATTTTTTCACACGTCCGATTTTGACAGCCACGCGGCCTTGTACTATTTAAACTACTGCATTGTATTTATTTCAATAGCCGAAGGGGTAGTTCCCACAGGTGGCCACTGGATCGGAAAAGTAAAGTAGCGAATTTTAATCCAACAAAGGGGCTCCCTCCGTGTCTCGCGTCAGGTTTTGTTTTTCTCTCGTTTCAGAGTGTTACGGCTCTTACAAATACAAATTCTCTCACAATTGCATCGTTAAATCGCTGAACAATAGCTTCAGGGATAATCTTTTTAATCGGTCCAGCCATGAAATGTTTAAGACGTTTGTGTGAAGTTGTTCACGGGTGAAGGGGAGAATGACAGACGGACAGACGTAATTAGAGAGAGAGAAAAAGAGATATAGTGAGGAAAGAAATAGTATATAATGTAGAGAGAGAGAAAAAAAAGACAGACAGAGAGAGAGAGAGAGAGAGAGGAAAAAAGTGGG